GGGAAATAACAATTTTAATTCACTCTGCTAGAATAGCACAGTAAATCTTAGTATCGGCATTAATGAGCGAGATTGGTCTTTATTTAGAAATTTAGAATTAGTGGGATCTTTTCCTGTTTTTTTAGGCATAGGTCTATTTAAGCTTTTATAATTGCTGCTGGAATATCTTTCCATTCTCTAATTTCGTTGAAAACCGCCAGATATTCAATTTTTTTGTAAAAACTATCTAGTCCTGGGAATTTGTTTGATTCCAACATTTTAATGATATCATACATTTCATTATTAGTAAATGAGCTGATGTTAGTCTATTAATCTATATGTTATCCTAATATTTCCTAATGGCTTCTCTATTTCTCATCTGACACAGAATATTAGAGTTATTTTTATACTCTCTAAAGGCACGTCCAATATCTTCAAACTGATACAGTCTTTGTTGTCATAGATAAATGTAAAACCTCAATTTTAAATTAGATATTTAAGCTGATTTGATAGACATCTATCCATACTATTACCTCGGTAGTACCATCATTGCTTAATTTTATTTAATATGTTATTTGCTTTATTTTTTAGTTGTCCCGTTATCTTTTTTTTTTTCTCTCATCTAGATTTGAAGGATCTAGGGAACTTGAACAAATCTTTTTAAGTTGTAAAAATGGATATATAAATCAGAGAGTTTTTTTTTTCTTTATTCAAATGCACTTCTAACTTAATAAGATGACCCCTGGTCATGCAAATAAAAAGAACACTTCTGGGGGCGTGTCCGGACCGCGCATGTGAGCGGACGTGCGAGACCGGAGCTCCTCCGATACCGCGGCTATCACAGCGTGGAGTAAACAACATAAATACCGGCAAAAGTTAGCAACAAAAAGGGGAACTAACCTCCTATCTGATGGCGACGAAGCCGCAAAAAAAAAATGAAACAAAAAACTATGCATGCCCATCTGGAGAGGAATCAAGTCACAGAGCATGGTGAGCAAGATGGCGCCGATAGGCCCTAATCCCCAACATGTGACTGTGAAGCAGGGGATAGCAGACACAGCCAGGACAGCCCAGTGACGAACCCTTCCATAAGATCAATCATGCTAGAACTAAAAACATCATTCAAAGCAGACCTGCAGCAAATGGCAACAGCCATCAGGTCAGACATCAACAGCATAGGAGAACGCACTGCGCGCCTGGAAGAGCGCACAGAGGAATTAATTGATGCACACAACTCCATGGCAGAGGCATACACATCCCTAGTACAGAAAATAAAAGTACTGGAAGGGAAAGTTGCATACCAAGAGGATAGAAGCCGAAGGAATAATATACGCATAAGAGGTATCCCAGAATCTGTTACACAGACCGGCTTAACCCAATATGTGCAAGATCTATTCAAAATGCTTATTCCCTCGCTGACAGATGCGGAGTTGACCCTGGACAGGACACACTGCCTCCCCAAACCCAAACATCTCCCATCAGACACAACAAGGGACACCATCACAAGGGTCCACTACTACCTAGTCAAGGACAGCATCATGCAAGCAGCCAGAACGGCAAGCCGCTGGCCGGAACCCTATACCGACATTAAACTCTTCATAGACCTCTCATCAACAACCATGCTTGCACGACACACGTTTGCGCCCATCACTGCAGCACTACGAGCGGTAAACGTACCTTACAAATGGGGTTTCCCCACAAAGCTACTGATCAAACGGAACGGAGTGGACAAACCAATACTTAACCCGGACGATGGAAAGAGGATCCTCCAGGAATGGAATATTCCGTTACAAGCCAGCAGTCCCAAAGGACCACTGCAGACAACGGCACCAAAACCCCTCACCAAAGACTGGAACCGAACAATGAAAGCACCACGCACATCCACCGACCGCAGAACCTCTCCCTCATGAAGGAAGTACCAGATCAGACCTGAATCAGTGAAAACTGAACGGACTAGATGTACGGGTTCTATAATTTTACTTAAACTACTTGTCTCCTTGTAATCTACTCTGATAATACCGATTGAAAGTCCCTAGCCCATGCCGCGACCGGGTGAAGGAACCCCCGGACCCGCTTTGTTTACACCACAGCATTGTTACAGCCACATACGTTGTGGATCGTGATGATCTGCTCCAAGTGGGCCACCCCCAAGGCTCTTAAGCTCCTAAGAGCTATACTTGTCCGTTGCTCTACGCAACCCAATGTCCCCATATGGTGACATACGGAATACTGTATATAGTTACTACCCTGTTGTTCCCTCCCTCTCCCTCGCCAGTATACCCAAAAATGTACTGTACCCATCTTACAAGGACACTCCGGGTCCTTCATATTTAAGAGCACAGCGAACTAGACAAATACGTCATGGTGATTAAAATTATGTCCCTAAAGACAAAAGGGCTCAATTCCCCGCACAAACGCAGGTTGGCTATACAGGACGCCAAGAAAAGTGGCGCTCTAGTGGCGTTCTTCCAAGAGACACACTTCAGGTGGAAGGATAGACCTAAATTTACCTCTAAATGGTTCCCCCACGACTTCCACACTTGCTATATGGCCAAACAAAGAGGTGTTTCCATCTTAGTAAGTAAAGATGTAGTATTCTCTCTGGTTTGCAAGATAACTGATAGAAAAGGGCGCTACCTGATTTTGCAATGCCTTCTTAATAATAACCCATATACGCTAGTTAATATTTACAGCCCTAATGAGAATCAGCATGAATTCCTGACCTCGACCCTGGCCTTACTTGAAATGTATAAATATGGAGAGGTAATCATTGGGGGTGACACGAACTTCTTACTAGATAGCGAGTCTGACTCTTCCACTGCTGCAGGGCTTTCAAGAAGCACCCTACGGCAAAGAGCAGCTCTCGCAGCCAAAGTGTGCACCACATTAGCCTCTAACCACTTAGTAGACCCATGGCATATCCTCCACCCCACGGAGGTAGACTACACATGCCATACAATGGCACACAACAGCTACTCCCGTATAGACCGCTTTCTTGCCCCCGCAACCTTCATGACTAACATAGAGGAAGCTACTATTGGAACAATGTCATGGTCTGACCATGCACCTGTCACCCTTAGCATTAAAGAAACATTCCCCAATAAAGGTACAGGCACCTGGAGGCTAAATGAGTCTCTTTTGATAGACCCCTCCATAGTGGCACAGGTTACCACAGACCTCCAGCACTATTTCACCGAAAACACAGTGCAGGACTCATCAATTGAACAAATCTGGCTAGCACACAAGGCGGTCATACGGGGCAGCCTTATAAAACATGCCAGTAGAGCCAAAAAAATAAGGTTAGCAAACTATAACTCGCTGATAGCAGAAATCACTACACTGACACACTCCAACAAACGAGACCCAAGCAGGACCACCTGCAAAAAACTACTGGACCTCCAAAACCAACTAAAAAACATAGAACTAGCCAAAACAACATACCTATTACGCAAAGCTAAACATAACTTTTTTGGTAACGGAAATAGAGCGAGCGCCAAACTAGCGTCACAACTAAAAGAGAGATGTGTCGCCTCCAGGATTGCCTTCCTAGTAGATAATAAGGGAGGGAAGACTTTGAACCCACAAAGTATTGTTGACCAGTTTGCGACATATTACAGTGAATTGTATAACCTCAAAACTGACCCCAACATGTTCTTACCTACCCATGACGACATTGACGGTTTCTTGACGGGCCTTGACCTACCAAAACTAACAAATGATGACCTGGACCTGCTACAACAACCATTCTCCCTAGACGAGATTACAGCTGTAATATCGCAACTACCAGCCCACAAATCCCCAGGCCCTGATGGCTTTATGAACGCATACTACCAGAAATTCTCACACATCTTACACCACACCTCCTAAACTTCCTCAACAACTGCGCTACCGCAGGCGCACTACCAGATGAGATGCTGCTGGCCCATATATCCACCCTCCCTAAGCCTGGCAAAACCCCCACCCAGTGTAAAAATTTCAGGCCCATACTTAACGGAGATGCCAAAATCTATGCTAAACTCATCAGCAACCGATTGGCTCCTCTCCTCCACAAACTGGTACACAATGACCAGTCGGGGTTTATAAAAGGCCATCAGGGCTCTGACAATACCAGGAAAATTCTGAACATGTTGTCCATGCTGGACACTGGCGGTTCGAAGGGCCTCTTCCTCGCGCTTGATGGGAATAAAAGCCTTCGACCGGCTAAACTGGGAATACATGACTAAAACTCTGCACAAATTTAACTTCCCCGTGTCCATAATTAAAAGCATAATGGCACTATACCCCAAACCAGCAGCCAAGGTCTCTCATGGAGGCTTCCTGTCCAACCCTTTCTCTATTACAATGGCACCTCTCACCCCTTCTATACATACTAGCCCTGGAACCCTTAGCATGCAAAATCAGATCACACCCTGACATACAAGGGATCCCTATACGAGACAAGATGTACAGCCTGGCCCTATTCGCTGACGACATCTTCGTGGCATTAACAGACCCTAACCACTCCCTACCCCATATGCTGGAATTCATACGACAATTCGGAAGAGTCTCCTACTATAAATTGAATCAAGACAAAACCCAAGCCCTACCCATCAACCTGCCAAAAACCCTAACAGACTCCCTCCGCACCACATACAAATTTGATTGGAGAACTGCCTCCATTACATATTTGGGAATAAAAGTGGCACCCTCCACCTCGGCCACGCTAACATTAAACTATACACCACTGCAGACGCTCTGCAAAAAAGAAATGCACAAATGGAAGCACACGATGATTTCCTGGCTGGGGAGGGTTAATGCCTACAAAATGATGATCCTGCCCCGTATCCTCTATGTCTTTAGGAAGCTTCCCCTCAAAATCTCCAACCAATATTGCAAAACATTACAAAAACTATGCAGTACTTTTATCTGGGGGGGTAAGAAACCTAGGGTATCTATGGCACTCCTCCAAACCACCACCCGCTCTGGCGGTGTTGGCCTCCCTAATCTAAGACAGTACTATAGGGCGGCTATTCTGTCCTCAGGTGTCCTCCTACATGCACCACCTAACACGATCCAATGGGTGGACATGGAAAGAGCACAATTCCGTAATCAAGGCCTACTCGAATATCTCTGGACACCCAAACACCTGAGATCGAAACGACAGGATCTATTCCCAACCACCCAGCTCACGATGGCAGTGTGGGATGAATTTATGGGAGCCACTGGATACAACAACTCCTTCCACCCTAAATCGCCCATTTCAACCCTTAGAGCAACGGTACCAGACATACCACTCCTAGACTGGCACAAGGCAGGGATCAAACACATATCCCAACTGATGACTGAAGGGAAAGTAACACCCTTCCCAACACTACAGGCACAGTGGCAACTCCCCAGCCGAGCCATCTTTTCCTACCTACAGAGTAAAAGCGTACTAGAAGCATACACGACAACCGCACACAACTCAAAAGGCTCACCACAGGTCACCTCACAGTTGCTCATTGACAGATGCTGGTCCTCACCTAACAAACCTAAAACACTCACACTGTGTTACAAAACATGGCAAGAACTCACGCCAACAAAACCACATCCACACAAAGCCCAAAGGGAAAAGGACTGTGACATAACCCTATCAGACACGGAGTGGCTACATGTACTGAACGGGTTGTCCAAACGGACAAAGTGCTTCTCCCATGTAGAAGCCCACAGGAAACTCATGCACCGGTGGTACATGACCCCACAAAGACTTCACCAGCTATTTCCCACGATAAGCCCGCTGTGCTGGAGATGCAAATCTGACCCAGGCACGCTGCTACATTAGTGCTGCATTAAACCTCTCTGGACTACAACGAGGGCAATCCTAGACACACTAGACATCCCAAAGTTTGAACTGACGGCATCCATTTGCCTACTGCTACTGCTCCCTGCAGGCCTAAACCCAGTGGCGTACACATGACCCATGGGGCCCCGGTGCGAAAATTGATCCGTGGGCCCCCCCTCGCTTACTCAGCGCGGGTCGGGGCCGCAACACATGGTGGCGGGCACCTGGTCGCAGGGGTCGCAGGGCTGCGACCCCGCGACCGCGGTATGCACACACACTTAAAGGACCACTACAGACACCCAGATCACATCAGCTCAATGAAGTGGTCTGGGTGCCAGGTCCCTCTAGTTTTAACCCTGCAGCTGAAAACATAGCAGTGAAAATGGCTATGTTTCACTGAGGGTTAATCCAGCCTCTGGTGGCTGTCTCATTGACAGCTGCTAGAGGAGCTTCCGCGATTCTCACTGTGAAAATCACAGTGAGAAGACACTGAACGTCCATAGGAAAGCATTGAGTAATGCTTTCCTATGGGCGGTTTAAATGCGCGTGCGCGCCTCTTGCCACGCATTTGCATTCGGAGCTGAGAGGCAGACACTGGGGAGTCCGACGCTGGAGAAAGGTAAATGCTGAAGAGACACACACACACACTCTCACGAACAGACGCATACACACTCACTTACAAAACATACACTTTCACTGACAAACACACACTCGCTAACAGACAAACACACTCAGTAACAGACACACACAGTAGCACACTCACTAGCAGACACACACCCAATAACAGACACACTCACTGACACACACACTAACACACGCACTAACACAAACACTAATACACACACTAAAACACACACACACTAACACACACACACATACACTAATACACTAACACACACACACACACACACTAACACACACATACACTAACACACACACACACACACACACTAACACACACACACACTAACACACACATACTAAGACACACATACACTAACACACACACACACACACACACTAACACATTTTTATTTTTTAAATTTAATCCCCCCAGCCTCCTTACCTATTGGAGTGCTGGGGGGATTCCCTGGGGTCCAGTGGTGCTGCTGGGCTCCTGGGTGGGCGGGCTGTCTGGGCAGGCGGGCGCGCGAGGGAGCTCTCTGCTCTGTGTGCTTCCTCTTCAGCTCCCTCGCGCGCTGCTTAGGGATGCCGGAGCCGGAAGATGACGCCATCTTCCGGCTCCGGTATCAGTGCGGTGCGCGAGGGAGCTGAAGAGGAAGCACTGAGTGCTCCCTCGCGCGCCCGCCTGCCGGGTGACAGCAGGGCCAGCCTCGGGGGGCCCTGGGGTGGTCGGCTCCTGGGCCCCCCAGGTGAAGAGGCTGGCCCTGTGGCTACATACCGGGTCGCAGGGGCGGCCGGGCCCCCTGGTGGGCCGGGCCCGGTCGCAGCCGCGACCCCTGCGACCCTGGTATGTACGCCACTGCCTAAACCCAGGCCAAAAACTAATCATAACGTTAGTCTTAATGGCATCAAGAAATCTCCTAGCACTTAACTGGAAATCCCAAGACTGACCTTCCTTGCCACAGCTGACAGATAAAATAGAGCAATTTCATATATATGAGAGAATGGCAACTACATCTGCCCCTACTTGGGGTAAATGGGAAAAAGAGTTTGGACGAACAAAAGAAAGAGCACAAACAATGGCAAACACTGCCAAGAGCACTAACCAGGAACATAACCCGGAGTGTCCTTCCCCACCACCACAGTACTGACCCCAGACCAAGACAACAACCAACGAACCACGTGTATTACTCACGCACCCCTACCCCCTTCTACCCTCCCCCCCCACCCGCCCATAACCCCCTCCCCCTCCGTCATCTTTGGCTCCCCTCCCAGGTTCTAGACCCCCCACCAGGCCCATATCACCCAGAACCTAAAAAAGGAACGGAGAAACCATAAGACAACTAGTGCTCTCTCACGCTGCTGACAACTCACAGTACAGGCGACGATAAACTGAACATCTTGCACATGTAACGGTACTACACTTTACTATCCCATGAAGGTTAATGCCACAATACCTGGTGTCACAATGTCGCATAACTGTTAATGTTAATGTCACAATGGAATGATACTCCTCGCATGCCTGTAACACAATGCTATGGAACCATTACTGTAACATGGAGAGTGTCACCTGTCTAACTAACCCTCTCATTTTCTTTTCTGTATCCCGAACCACCCTGACTAAAATAATAAAATATAAATTTGAAAAAAAAAAAAGAACACTTCTACAGACCATGAGTTGTTATTACCATATTTGATGAACTGAACTTCGCCACTGACCTTTGGAGGGGACTGTTTGCCAGCCTCCTACCCTGTGACTATGGCCCCTGTGTTAAAACACCAATTGTGCCTCTTGGACTTATAACAGGCTCTGTTCGTGCAATTGGGGCTATATGGATCATTTACTGAACAGACGCATGAACCGGAGACCACCCTGGAGCTTTTTAAGCTTAATTGATACAGGGTTGCAATTTCCACCTCTGTGGTCTACATGTTCGCCTGGGTGGACGCATTTCCTATAAACAACCACGAGGTGGCGGCCATCTTGTTCGCATGGACCAAAACCGCAAATAGACTTGGGGCTTAGCCGCGAATGTACTGGAACTATTTTCAGCATGAAAACCTCTCGGCTCCCGTTCGGTCCTCCAGTGGTACTTAGCTGCAATTCTATGGAACTGTTTTGGGCATGGGTCCATGCCTGCGCCTGGGCAAAACTATGACTTCCATAAAATTTCTAAACCCCTGAACTGATATGGGTGATTTTTGGATATGTTGTTCACCCAGATCAGGGCTCTTAGGGGATGTAACTTGCCAGCTGTGGCTCCCATTTAACAAGATACTTTACCCCTTCATTAAGTCTTGGCTCATGGTTGGGGAATTGGAGAACTACATACACTCTGGGGATTGCTATAATCACTATACTCCCCTGACTATAATCACTAGCTCTTCTAAGAGCTGTTCCTGCTACACTCTCTGGACTAAGGAGAGGCCTACCCATTGGAAGTTGGGTCCTAGTCTTGGGTCCAGGGTGGGCGGAGGATGGCGAAACCCCAACCAAGCTGCAGCGGTTTGTGGGGTTTACAGTGGTTATGGTGTTCCAGTGCTGTGCCATTGGTACTCGCCAATACTAGGAAGCAGCGCATGATGGAGGTACCCGGTCGGGGTACTAGGCAGTCCATCACACCATACATTTAATTGGTCAGGGAATAACGCAGAAATGCTTCACACACTCAGCATCTGGCGTCATCACGCTTGCCCTCCAGGTTTTGATTAACAGCTTACTGGGGTTCCTAATAATTTAGCTTAAGAAACCAGTAGGCAGACAGTTCGAATAAAATTCATGAATGATATTTTAGCCCTGTTGAAGCATCATTCTACCTATGTCAGTGCTATTGGGAATTGTACTGGCACTGGTCAAAATTAATTGTGTGCAACGGTGAATTATTAGCACAAGAGGACCAAGGAAGAATAAATATTCTTCCTGTCAACTGAGGAGGTAGATATACTAGTTACTGAACATCACACAGGTATGGGAATAGGAGGAAATGTATTGCTTCCTTCTGGATATTAACCCCTTAAGGACTGAGGCAGTTGTAAGTTCTGATCAAAACAAAACGTAAACAATACCTGGAATTTGCGCTATATATCTGTTCACCCATAATTCACCCCGTTCATATTAAATGCACCCACACTTAATATATATCATTTTTTCAGGAGAAACAGAGCTTTCATGTCACATCAAATATTTATATATTAAAAATAATTTAATATGAATAAAATATTAAAAAGTGAGAAATTAAGATTTATTTGCTTTTTTTAGTTTTGTGTAGCATTTTAACTATGAATGTCATAATACTGTTAGCTGTTACTGCAATAAAGTACACATATTTGTGTTCAACAATGTCACATGAGTAAAACAGTATCCCATATGTATAGGTTTCATGGTGTTTTGGAAAGTTACAAGGCCAAATAAAACACATTACATTTTTCAGTTTATACTCATTGAAATTTGTAACACTGGTTATGTTGCCTTTGAGTCCGTATGGTAGCCCGGGAATGAAAATGACCCCGATGATAGCATACCATTTGCAAAAGTAGAAAGCCCGAGGTATTACAAATGGGGTATGTCCAGTCTTTTTTTAGTAGCCACTTAGTCACAAACACAGGCCAACGTTATTGTGAGTAAGTTGCTAAAAAAGACTGGACATACCCCATTTACAATACCTCAGGTTGTCTACTTTTGCACCTGGTATGTCATCATACCATACGGCCTGAAAGGCAAGAAAAACGATCTGTCAAATTTCAACATGAAAAAAATGGAAATGCAAGCTGAAAATTTGACTCTATGACTTTTGAAAACACAATAAAGCCTGTACATGAGGGGTTCTGTTATACTTGAGAGACTTTGCTGAACACAAATATTAGTGTTTCAAAACAGTAAAACATATCACAACAATTATATTGTCAGTGAAAGTGCCGTTTGTATGAGAAATATGCAAAAAAAATTGCATATTCCCTGACAATATCATCATTGTGATATGTTGTACTGTTTTGAAACACCAATATTTGTGTACAGTGAAGTCTCCTGAGTAAAACAGTACCCCCCCCATGTACAGGTTTTATGGTGTCTTAGAAAGTTAAGGGTTAAATATAGGGCTTGCGAATCAAATTCTCTCGACTTTCTGCATGGGTTGTCAGACAGGTCCTTTAAATTTTAATTAATCAGATGACTTTATTATGTCAAAATATTATATAAATATATATGTAGAATTTAAATGTGTATATATATATATATATATATATAAATATATATATATATATATATATATATATATAGAGAGAGAGAGAGAGAGAGAGAGAGAGAGAGAGAGAGAGAGAGAGAAAATCCAGTAAAGAAGGCTGCTCTCCGATCTTAAAACT